TGTGACTTCTCAATCTGGAGAAGCAAAGACTGTATTCCAAGGCTCTTCCGGACGTCACTATTCCGGACCATGTCGAGACGCGTATGGCCACCCACAAGAACTATTTCAGCAGCTTGTACCCGGGTTCAAAGTTTTTCAGTGATGGTCCACGATTCATGACAGTAGGAGTATGGGGATAAAGATCGACTTGAATATTGAGAGCTTAGTTTTCAGACCGAGCTCTGCTTTCGTCACAACGGGTCGGGCCAATTCACGCAGAACGCCACTGGCTACTCCAATTCGCCGGTCGATCTATTCCTCGAATTTTCCATCACTACTAAATACATTTCCGAGGTACTTGAACTTCTTTCCCTGCTCCACTGCGTCTCCATTGAACGGAGAACGAAGAGCAACGGGCAGGAGAACGAAAAATCACTATACTTTTCGTTTTAGATGCGTTCACACGCATGCCGGTCACGTTGCATTGGGCTGCGATCCTTTCCAGGAAGCACTGCAGATCAGTTTCAGAAAATGCCAATAAAACAAGGCCGTCCGGAAACAGCAAACTTCTCGTCCCCTTTACTCCTTCCCTGGTACACTCTTCCCCGTGGCTGCACTTGTCTCTCATCCGCGTACGGTCAAAACCAGAGAGGGGCAGAACGCAACACTGGCAAACACCGGCGCTGACATTGGAAGGTCTCGATGCAGTTTTCTCTGAGGCAACATCTGTAAGCATATAGTGACTGAAAGGCTCGTAAGATTTGAGGCCACTGTTCTAATATATTTGCCGGTTTGCCCATGGCTTATTGTTTGGCATCCGGTCATAGGCTTACTCCAGGTCAACAAAGCGCACGTAAACCGAATAAACAAACTCTCACGATTTCTCAACAAACTGGCGTAATGCTATAGTCTGGTAAGAGGTGCTTCAGCTTGACCTGAAGTTACGCCGCTCATCTTGGATGCTAGAATCAACTATTTCATGGCGGCTCCTTTAAGATATTTTCCCGTTGACTTCTTCCAGGAGTCCAGTTAAGGTAATGCCGTGATAATCGAAGCAATCCACATGGTCCGCATTGAAGAACAGATATTCTAAGACCCCAGTTGCGCAGATCGCCGGTGTTTTCCCACAGTCATTTCAGTTCAACCAACATCCTTGTTCGAATAAATCTCTCAGCATCTGAAAGGGGTTTCATCGATTCCAGCAATCTTGCCATCTTCAAGCATTCGAAAGCTTCTGTGACTTTGTCTACTGAAAGACTGATATCCGTTGTCTGCTGCTCACCTGACAGGTCTTCCTGCAGTCGCCTGGGATTGAGGACTTCATCGCTGCATTTTCAGTATTCTTGGTAAAAGACGTTCGGACCTATTCTTCATGTCCGGACGGCTTCTGTCCATCTTGGAGCCTGCAAATGCTCTGACAGAATACTCTGTTATGTCTTCAGCCGAATGATCGTCACTATTCTGTTGACATGGTTCCATTCAAGGATTCTGTCAGCCAGGTTGGGTTCTACCAGAGCAGAAATACTCACCTGAGCGCGTGTCCTCAATCGGCATCTGAGTATAATCGCTTCAGGTTCAGAATTCTAGAACCCAGGCGTTGCGTAGACGAGAGTACAGCTATTTCGAGTCAGTTGCTTTTTCCTTCATTAACAATCTACTGCTCTTTTCCTTGACTTAGAAGATTTTCCAATTTTTGACTCTGGTCTCGCACTATCGGTATCGCTCACGTCGACCTCGATCGTCTCACCCTATCAAATGTACCATAATTACATTTTGCTGTCTACTTCCTCTGTTCGAAATGGATGGCGGCTCCGTTGCTAAATGGTGTATTCGTAATCTTCTTGGCGATGTTCGGCAACTTTTGCCTTGCTAGTACACCGTCACTTTCCGGAAGGGGTTTTGGTGGTTCTGAAGATTAACTTTTCGTAGTCTGTATCAGTTCCCTGATAGCCTGGTCGCCCATGGTAACCCATGCAACGACCAAGCCATTATCACTTTGGATAACGCAGTTCCATGAGGGGCAAGAGACTAAGTCTTACTGGAGACCTTGGAAAGGTCCACTAACGGTGGTGCACCTTTCTCATCAGGGTTTTGGGTCAGCATCGGACAAATTATATTAGTATCGTGCCCATGTATATTACAAACGAGAGATTCGATTCTCACATACGGTATCTAGTCAAAAAGGAAAAGGTGCTTCAATTTGAAGAAACTGGATCACTCTCATTCGATTACTATTTTAACTCTTTGTCGAATCAGCATTTACTTCAGAGTAGAATTTATGACGGCATAGGCAATATTGTCTTCAGCCACGTATATCCGTCGTTTGCATGAATTACAATAAAAATTTTCAGTTCTCTTCTAACTTCAGGAACTGGCGAGGACCACTCTCTAGGAAAATGAATGGATAGGCCCCCTCAGAATATAAATTCGTCAATTGCGAGGGGTACGACAACAAATCGTGCAGCTGTTGTTCCCAAATGCAAGATTCTTGCTCCAATGCACGTGATGAACATGAACATAAACTCGGTAAAAAACGTTAATGGGCAGTGCTGACGAAAAAAAGTTTATGCGAATATTTTTTGGCACTGAGAGGTCATAACAATATAAAGACTTTTGCACCTACCAGCGGACTACAATTATAAAACCTGCCTAGTTGATTACTTGGATCACCGTATCGATCGGTAATTGGCGACAATTCGCGATGGCCTGCAACACGCCCCCCCTCCCTCCCAATTCCCCGTGCCTTCGAGCATTCTCCCACCAAGCGCGGTATTCCCGGCACCTTATATGGCCTTCCAAGCGCCGTGGTGGGTCGCCAAGGTACCCAATGCGCCAGCGAAGACACTGGTCACCTTTGAGTCGAGCGACGTGCTCGGCCTACTGTAGTTTCTTCTTTATTCTTCTGATTTTGAATAAAACAACTAAATAATTTCTGTCCGCTGTCTTCTCACCGTGTTCGGGATGCAGTCATGACGTGAAATTCCAAACATTCTTCTTTCCATAACTTTATTGGTGGCAGATGGCTAAGATTCTTCGGCTTTAGTGAGTGACTTCATCTCATATCCATACATCATTGCCTGCAGAACGGTAGAGTTGAAGAGGTGAGTGTGGATTTTTTCCGTGACGTTGCGCACGAGTACTGCCTTCATGGAATGGATCTTGATTGAACAAGTTTTCTTTCTTCGTTGAACCTCTCCAGTCAAACCATGCTGCATGTTCTCATGATGCACTCATCACATCTTCCGTTCACCTTCTTGTAATACCATAGTCTTTTCAAAGGCATCCGATCGCAGAATCTTTGTCACTCACTGACTGACTGATTCGCCGTTTGACTTGTGCACCGTTTCTCTCAAGCTCTTGCAGCGAGTCGTGTGGGCCAGCTGACTGCCGTTTCGCGCAAGCAACACCATGTGACCAACGAACGTGACCAACGTGGCTCAATTAATGTTAATTCCGCCCCTCAAGTTCATCCTCTGGAGCACCATTTCAAAACAAGCCGACAAAAGTTTAGGGGACATAGTGTCCGCCTACTTCAAGCCTTTCTTTACGAGAATCCGAAGGGGCGTCGAACAGCGTGATCTCTGTGAAGTAGTCGGAGTAAGCTTTCTTTAGCAAGCTGAGCTAACGGCTATCGATGACCTGTTCTGCCAATACGGTACACACCGAGCCATGCTCCACACTGTCCAACACTTTCTCGTAGTCGATGATGGCTATGCACAGAGTGAGCTGGAAATTTTTTTTGCGCGCTCGAGAAGTTGTACTAACGTAAAGGTCCTATCCTTTATGATATAGCACCTTCGGAATCCTTCATGTCGCTTTCGCTGCTTTTCGTCCAGATTTGTGGGCAGTCTGCTGGTGATGATCTTAGTACGCAGCCTGTAGATCTGCCAGAGCAGGCAGACTGAATGAATGTTCCCCGAATCCTCATTCTCGTCCCTTTCTGAAAAGTGCCCTTCCAGCTTGATGGCATTTTTTCTGTGTCCAGGTAGAAACTGAATATCTCTGCTAGCATCCTCTAGCACGTCCGTTTGTCCGCATGCGCTGATTACTTCAATTGTCAGGCCGTCTCTCCCTGGGGCATTTCCTTCCTTATGCGGGAGTCATGGTGGGGAATGTGTACTTTTTACGTACAAAGCTGCGTGCAAATTACTGAAAGACGGCATCTGAGCTTTGACAGACGTTGATGCACTGTCTCCGTTCTTCAATTTCATGATATTCAGGTAATAAAGCACTAACTCTCTCTCTTGCATTATCTGACGTTCCCGTGGTCTTCGGCTGTTTTCAATTTTTGCTGTTAGGAAGTCTCCAGGTTATCCTTCAGCCTCCGTCTAATGAGCTTGTACAGAAGAGAGTACTTGCCGTGTGAAAACGGAGTACTACAACGTATCAGTCCCATTTTTCTTTATTCTCCTCAACTTCTCTAACAAGCTTGTTGTTTCACATGAGACCCATCCTTTCGCTCAATCTGATGTTACCACTTCGGCTCACTTAACGCAGCGCCTCAGTTTCTCGGCAAGCGACTAGTAGTCGTCATTGCAGCTGTCTTTCAGACTCCAGTCTATGCTGGAGATGCACACCTGGAGCCCAACCTTCGATCGTTGTGTGCGATTTGGCACCAGCAGTGCCCTCATGAACATTTTCTCCTCGCAGGATGGCGCAAATCGCAGCTGTCTGAGGACACTGTTGATGTCAAATGATGGCACTACTGCTACATCTCTCATGACGTGACGTTGATCGAATAGGCCGAAGTAGATCTCATTCTTCGTCGACATGTCCACCTCATGATGACTTTCTTCTTGAACCAAGAGTTTTTTGTTCATGTCTTGGCCACTGGTCAGTCTCCTCGTCCACTTTCTTTTCCGATGACGTAGCTCCCAGCAAATCTTTTATCGACTTTTCCTCGTTCGTCTCTGGCATTAAAGTCTCCAATGACAATATTATACGTGGACGTTAGGATCAACTCATGGTCCAGTTGTAGACAGAATTTTTCACTTCTTCCTCGTTATAGTTCTTGTGGGAGCATACGTTTGGATGATCTTTATGATCGACTCATTATTCAATTGGAAACACAGCACACATGGTCTTGGTTACTT